AGGACAAGTCCAAAGCGACTAGAACTGAATATAAAGAAAAACATTTCTTTTTTTTTTTTAATTTATTTATTTGACAGACAGAGATCACAAGTAGGCAGAGAGGCAGGCAGAGAGAGAGGAAGGGAAGCAGGCTCCCTGCTGAGCAGAGAGACCTAAGTGGGATCAGGACCTGAGCTGAAGGCAAAGACTTTAACCCACTGAGCCACGCAGGGGCCCCAGGAAAAACATTTCTAATGACTATAATAGAGTTTCCCCAAAATGGACTGGCTTTGCTATGTGAAGTAGGATATTCCCACCCACTATAACTCGGGGATAGTCATGACATATGCTGCATAAGGTTGTTGTTAAGTCAAGAAGTCAGTGTTTGCACAGAATTCAGAACAGTTCTTGGCAGTCCCTAACACAACACTTCTTATAAGTGTCTCTTAAGTTAAAATAAAAATCAAAAGAAGTGTCCAAGCAAACACTGGGCATTGACTTAGTGAGAAGACGGCTTTCCAGGAATTTCCTCAGCTCCTTACCACTGCCTTTCTCTCACTTCCTCCTCTGTGGGGGAGGGAAGGCAGGGCCAGAAGCCATGTTTTGCTTCATGTTCTCTGCACCTCAGTCATGGGCTCAGTCATGTTTTGCTTCATGTTCTCTGCTCCTCAGTCATGGTGGGGGGAGGCACAGACACAGAACCAAACCAGACTCAACAGAATCTCCCTCCTGAGACTCTGTTTCCGTGTCGCTGACTCAGTTTCTGTGCATTCCTGGAACTGAGGTGAGGTAAACTCAGGCTTTTTGCACAAAGAGAGCAGAAAAGGCCAGACTGAGAGAAGCAGGAGTCGTGGGTGCAGACAGCGGTGGACATCCAAGACCGCTTGGTCCGAGAAGGGAGACCAGCTGCCCGGTTGCTCAGAGCTTTCCGGCTTTGGGTCTACGCCCTCCTTCAGGCCCAGCTGCCCACCAGCCCTACCTCTGAGTCATCTCACAGGTTTATGCACAATGGCCCTTTTACCTCTAGCGATCTGAAGTGGGTTTCTGTTGTTTGCCTTCACAGAGATTTAATCAGGCCACACCTGAATCACTTGCCTGCAAGGGAGAAAAGCTCCCCAAGTTAAAGGCCAAGCAAGGAGGCTCTGCGGGAAGCCATCTGGGGTTTTAAAGTTGTCATGCAGCTTCTGTCTTCACTCTGTTCCTGTGTCAGGGCTGTGTGTTTACCATTCATGGCTTGCCCCTCCGGACTGCTCCATGCGTCGTCCTCTGCGGAGCAGTTTTCTCTGCTCCATCCGCCCCTTCCATGGAGCCCTGGAGCTCACTTGGCTTTCCGGCTATGCTGTTCTCACTGACTCTATGTTTCTCAATTCTGTATTGGATACTCCTGGCAGAGAGTATCTGATCGGGCTCCACTTGGCCCCGGGGGGGAGGGGAAGAGGGGGCGGGACGGCTCTTTACTGGTTCCCTGAGCGGACAGGGGCGGGGCACCTGGGAGCTGGGGCTGCGGGTTCTAGGGAGGTGGGCAGAGTAGACTCCGAAAGTGGTGGGGGCAAGGAGGAATCATAGTATAATGACGGTCCGTTTGGCAGGTTATATGAGATTTCAGGCTTCAGGGGGAGTCACAGGCCTTCTAATCCTGGGGAATCTCCTTCATTTCTTTAGCCCTAGTTTTGTCGTGTTTGACATATGTATCCTCACAAACGAATGCTTCGTTCATCGATAAGGTGTTAATATTAGGTTTTCAAAACAAAGATATTTTACTTCAGATAAAAATGAAAGGAGAGGGGCGCCTGGGTGGCTCAGTGGGTTAAAGCCTCTGCCTTCGGCTCAGTTCACGATCTCAGGGTCCTGGGGTCGGTCTCTCTGTTCAGCGGGGAGCCTGCTTCCTCCTCTCTCTCTCTCTCTCTGCCTGCCTCTCTGCCTACTTGTGATCTCTCTCTGTCAAATAAATAAAATCTTAAAAAAAAAATGAAAGGAGAAAAACTAGAAGTTGGAGATAAAAGATTTATTTGTTCGATCACAAATCATAATCAGCCCAAACCTCCCTCTTAATACACTATGCAATGAAACCTGGTTTTTCAGAGTTTTATTAAAGTGTGATTGAAGACAATAAGCTATATCTACTTCAAGTATACAGTTCCATGAGACCATCACCACAGTCAAAGCATGAATATCTGTCTATTACCTGCTAGCTCAAGTGTCCCTCACCCTGCCCTCCCCTCCCGCACCCCCCCCCGCACCCCCCCCCACCCTGGAATTACAGGTTTCTCCTCTCAGGCTGCCCAGAACATCAACTATTCCCAGGCAGCTGGGAAATTGTTCTGTCTGCTTCTTTCCAGTGGTTTTTTCTCTGGCCTTGGATAGTTTCCTCATATGCATGTACTTGACCAGTATTCCGGTGAAGGCTTGGGGTGGGGGAGGGGGCCTCTGACACCTCCAGAACTCTTTCTGTGCAATTCTCTGCCTCTGGTACTCTGCTCTGTGGATTCTAGCCATCTGGCCTTCCCCTCCGATTTCTCAATTCCATTTTCTCTGTTCAGAGAGATTGCCAGGCTCCCCTTGGGTTCCCCTCCCAGTCCTGCCGTTTGGAATCCCTCTCTGGATGGGAAGCCAGGGCAGTGAAAAGGACCCCTTCCTTAGTATCCCTTCTCCTGGGTGCTCTGCTGCCTATTATCTGATGTCCAAAGCACATTGTTTCTTTTTCTTTTTTTTTTTTTTTTCTGGATTTTTCATCTAACTTCGTAGGCTAAATCCAACCCCTTTTCTCTATTATGACTACAGCAGAAGAGACTGCTCCTTTTTTTAATGAAAAATGCTTTATGACAACCTCATTTAAAAAATTTCAACTGATATTAACTCTTATAAAGTAAAAAATTGCCTCTCTCCCCTATTCACATCTCACACCCCAGAAATAACCAGTGTTAATGGTAAACACATTAAAGCATTTCCACTTTTCTCAAAAGGACCCTGTAGTGAAGTTAGAGAGGGGCCATCTTTAGCAGTGCTGGAGGATTGGAAATGAATGCTCCTGAGGAACACTGTCCCTCCCACTGTCCCTCATTATCTCCCCCATTAAACATGTGAGCTGCATCTCATTCTGTACTGACCTCTCTTCCACTGTCCAAAAGGCAGGAACAAGGGTCCTGTGTCCAACTTAAGATCTCTGTGAAGGCCATATGAAATCGTGTACCAGAAACTGCTTGGCAAACTTTGAAATCATTACAATTGTTAATTAATGCTATGTCCTATTATCATGTTTATTTTTAATATTAATAATTATTTTATCACATCTAGTGTTTAGAAGATTTGAATGCTACCTTCAGGGTCCATTTTTATCACCATGACAGTTTCTCTTTATCATAAGCCTACTGGAGCTCTCTGAGGTCTAAGGTGAAAGGAATCCTTATGCTGTCAAGGACATCATTAAGTGGCTTCAGTTGCATAGGGTGTATATCTCAGAGGTGGAAGTACCTGTAACCCAAAGTGTGCCACTCCCTGTAGGGCTAAGAGGTTAATATTTCAGCTTCAGAATCATGCATATACACAATCTCATGAACTCTATGAATTTTCCTGGAATAGCAAGAAATAATGGATTTTTTCTTTTTTCTTCTTTTGTATTTTTACCTTCTAGTTCTAACTCCTTCTCTGTTCTAGATCTGAAAGCAAGTATAAGCTCTAAAACCACATATATATATTCAGAAACTGCTATGTTTCTAACCAATTATTTTCTCTTTCCCTCCCAAAAATGACATTGAACCATGTACAAATTACAATGTTCATGCATCCAATCAAAAAAACTTCTGGACATGCCAAAAAGCAAGAAAATATGATCCATAATCAGGAGAAAAACGAATCAATAGAGACTCTGAAAAAAAGCTGTAGAAGCCACTGGCAGTCAGTTACAACTCAGGTGTGGTCTCCGTGCGACCGGATTTTCATAAACCTTATTATGCCATTTAAAACACTACAGCTCTGGGGCCACTAGGTGGCGCAGTGGGTTGAGCCACACACTAGGGTTTCCCAGGAGGTCAGGATCGCCAGGTCATGTGATCCACCTGCCTGGGAGGTGAGACCATGCTGGGCCTAGTCCGCTTGAGATTCGCCCTCCATCTCCCTCTGCCCCTCCCTCTCGTGCTGTCTCTCGAATAAATAAACACAATCTTTAAAAACAAAACAAAACACTGCTGCTCCGTTTTGTAACTGTGTATGGTGACAGATGATGCAGTGATCCGTGAACAATACATACAAGTGTTGAATCCTTATGTACACCTGAAACTAACATGTTACATGTCAAGCATATCTCCATGAAGGAAAAGGTAATCTGCTAAATTTAATTAAATAAAATACGTCTTCACTAGATCTTGCATGATCCAAGCTGAAGGCGTCTCTACATGCTATATAATGATAAATCATCAGGCCCTCATAATTGGATGTGTTCAGATTTCCGGTTGTGTTTGTGGACATACGACTGCCTGTGACTACTTGACTTTTATATTTTTCAACAGCGTTGCCCGCCTTCTGCTACCCAAGTGCATTTGGGGACCAGAACGTGACAGGGACGTTGGAGGTGAAGGACCAAAGACTGTCGGAACTGGTTCCCCAGTTCAAGTCCGTTTTCTAAACCAAACCCTGAGGTCACAAAGATCTGAGCTTCCCCAAGCAGGTCTCGCGTGTCAATAAAGCCGAGTGGGCTTAGGCACAATCCCCCGCCGAGACTCGGAGGGCCGCGGTCGCCCATGCATTCTCAGTACAGCACCGCTAGAAACCCACCCAACAGGTCTCCCTCGCGCGCCCTCCCAGCTTGGAAGAGCCTGCAGAGGCGAGTGTGCCGATGGGGTCAACGCGAGCCAGGAACTGAGCCTCACGCGGGAGGGGCGGGGCTGGTGGGAGGCGGGGGCGGGCCGCACCGGGGCGGGGGGAAGGTGAGCTGGGCGGGGCTTGGCGCGCCTCCGCCCCCGCCGCGGCCACTGTTCGCAGGCCGGGTGCTGATCCGCGCGGAGGCCCTCTGGCAGCCTCAGAGAGCGCCGGGGTCCCGGCAGAGAGGCGCGGGCGTTCCCGGAAGCCTCCCCAAAGTACGAGCGGCCGTGCCAGGCGGGGCCGGCTATGCCTCCCGTCGCTGCGGTTCCCGCCGGCGACCGCGCGCCCGCGGCCTCGGGGGCACAGCCGGGCCCCGAGGAGGCCGCGCTGTGAGACGCCGGGGCCTAGCGGCCGCCGCGGCCACACCAGACGGGCACAGGGTCCCGCGTTCTCCCGCCTTCCTAGCGCTCTGCGGCCCCTCCTAGGCCCGCTGCCTCAGCGCCGGCCACCATGGCCTTCGCCGCCCCGGAGAGCGCGGGCGTGGGGCGCGGGCTGTCGCCGCGGAACCTGGCGCTACGCGGGCTGCTGCTGCTCTGCTTGTGGCTGCCGAGCGTCAGCGCGTCCGGCCCGCCGTCCGCGCCGCTGTCCGAGCTGCACGCGCAGCTCTCGGGAGTGGAGCAGCTGCTGGAGGAGTTCCGCCGGCAGCTGCAGCAGGAGCGGCCACAGGAGGAGCTGGAGCTGGAGCTGCGCGAGGGCGGCGGGCCCCCAGAGGAGGGCTGCCCAGGCCCGGGCGGCGGCGGCTACAGCGCCATGCCGGACGCCATCATCCGCACCAAGGACTCCCTGGCCGCGGGCGCCAGCTTCCTGAGCGCGCCGGCGGCTGTACGTGACTGGCGGCAGTGCGTGGCGGCCTGCTGCTCCGAGCCGCGCTGCTCGGTGGCCGTGGTGGAGCTGCCCCGGCGGCCCGCGGCCCCCGCCGCCGCCCCCGCCGCGCTCGGCTGCTACCTCTTCAACTGCACCGCCCGCGGCCGCAGCGTGTGCAAGTTCGCGCTGCACCGCGGCTACAGCAGCTACAGCCTCAGCCGCGCCCTGGACGGCCGGCGGGAAGACCTGGAAGCCTCGCCGCGCACGGGTGAGCACCCCGCGGGAGGAGGCCGGGCCAGACCTCCGGGCCCTGCTGCCCTGGCACCTGTTGGGTGGCGGCCCCCGGGAGACCACTTGGGCAGTACAGTCAAGTTAGAGATGAAGCATCCTCGTTCCAAGGGATTTTAGTTCGGGGGCATCCAGAGGAATGGCTTTGACTCCTGTTTTATAGATGGTTTCTGAGAAACCCTGAAGGTTGGGCAGAGAGGGCACCATGGCCTGCTTCTGGAATTTTTTTAGCCTGAGGATAATCTGAGAGGATTTACAGAAATTCGATTTAAAGGAGAAAAGCTCTAAAGAAAAAAAAAAAGTTTATCTTAGACTCAGATTTTTTTGTATTAAAGATTTTATTTATTTATTTGACAAGCAGAGATCACAGGTAGGCAGAGAGGCAGAGAGAGAGAGAGGGGAAGCAGGCTCCCCACTGAGCAGAGAGCCCGATGCAGGGCTCCATCCCAGGACCCTGAGATCATGACCTGAGCCAAAGGCAGAGGCTCAACCCACTGAGCCACCCAGGGGCCCCTAGACTCAGATTTTCAATAGGCTTAGATTTTTATAAGTCGTGGTTTGTGTCGAGTAATCGCAGGAGCAAAATCTAATTAGATAAAGACTGCTCGTGGCACACCCGTTTCTGAGCTTGGCTCTCAGAACTCATGATTCCATGTGCAGTGGCTTTCATCAGACAAAAATGAGAAGGGAAACTTGGTGTCAGAAATTTTGACGTGGGTCCAACTGATTCCCATGAATACAGTCCCTTTTGTAAAGAAGGTTAGGAAAGGATTTGATTTTAATTGAAAATAAGAAAGTTGAAGGCACGTCTCTTTTTAAAAGAGTTAATGAAGTTTTTTTTCATTCTGTGGTTTTACTTCAGGCAGATGCTCTGAATGATAGTCAAAGCCCATACAAGAAGCACACAAAAAATGTGGTAGTTGGAAATTAAAGCCACTGAGGGAATAAAACCTTGACTGGGCCCACATGTGGTTGGCTGTGTGTTTGATTGCATTTTGCTCTTTGATTTATGATAACATAAGAATGATATAACGATATTGGGGATGGTGGGTGGAGCCTCAGCCACTTTGGAAATCTGGAGTCTCTAGGACCTGAAGGTCCAAACCATACCCACAGGTGGGCCCATCTCCTTACTCACCTCCACCTGAGAGAAAGCTCAGGACCCTTGTCAGGGGAGCAGACATCAAAAGCCACCCTGTGACTGATCAGCCTTGAGACAGACATTGGAAAGAACCCCAAAGTTTTCTCCCTGAAGCAAAAGCAAGAGACACTTTCAGTTGGACCTCCACCAATATCCCTGAGCCTGCCCCATGGCTATTACACACACATTCTTCCTCCTTGCTCAAACATGGACTAAAAAAAATCCCAGCAGTGAAGAAACAAAACCTTTCTCTTGTTCTCACTCCACATCTGGAAGAAACCAACCTCACCAGGTTTCTTATAAGCTAGAGGAAATCAAAAGGAAAATAAGCAAGGGAAGAATATGCTCGTGGAAATTAAAAAAAAAAAATTAAAGTTAAGTTTAGTAGTAGGAGTTTCTGAGTCACCTTTTTTCCTCTTCCTTCTTTCCCCTTCCCTTCCCTAGGGGGTGTGTGTCTGGGAATTCAATTATGTAGATGTTAGGGATAAAAAGGTGTGATCACAGGACTCGGTCCTCATTCTGGAAACACTGTCATACTCACACTTCAGATCCCCAGCAACATGTTACTAGAAGGGTATAGCTCGGGTCCCCAGGTGCCCTCATTTGCAGCTAGGTCAAAGGTTATCTACCCACACACCCTTTGTTTGCCTTGCCTAGATGCTTAACCTCTTGAAGCTCTATGCTTCTGAAACTTCTACGTTTTTCCTTCTAGAACTGCCTTTTTTTCCAACTCTTGTGAGTATACAGAGTTGGAGGCCAACTGAGCATGAATATCGTTTAGAAAAGCTCTTGCAGAGAATTTATCAGGGGGCCATTTGAGATGAATAAAAACATCATGAAATGATGAAGGGGCATGTGGAATGAGATGGCACAAATTTATGGCAGAACCCGTCAGCCACATTTGTCACAGCTGCTGATTTTGGTGCTAGGCATTATTATAAGGTCCTTAGACACATGAACTCACTCTCCTCACAACAGCCAAAGATCTAGGTTCCATTATAATCCCCAGTGTACTAGAAGGCTCTGTAAGAGAAAGTAAACTGCCATAAAGGGCCTTGCCACACATGAGTCATGGAGCCTTGTCCAAGTGTCTCGTAGGAAATACATAGCAGACACTATTAAAATGGTCATTCGTTCTTCTGGGATATTTTTATGGGAAAGTGATCCATGCTAAAGAAAAAGTAGGAGCCAGGAAATTTATTGTGCCATTATTTATAATGGTGAAAAAAATTGATAAAGTATATGTCCAATAGCAGAGGTTAAAAATTAAAGTGGCAACTGTAAAATTTATGTGGTAACATAACTAGATATGTTGCTAGAATATATAAGTAAATATAATTGTTTATTATTAATAGCAATATTTATTGTTATTAATGTTATTAATGTTACTAAAATATATGAATAAATATCAATAAATAGAACATATTGATAAGCTAGTAGGCTAATTCAGGATATAAAATTTATATTTCCTATAACTGGATATACTTTGGGGATATTTAGAAAGATCTGGGCTGACATCCAAACTGACAAATTTATCATTTGTATCATGTTAGGCAACTAAGCCTCTGCCTCTCATTTACTCATGAGTCTGACACAGATGATAATACCTACCCCAGAGATTTGTGAATGTTGAGTGACATTAAGGCTCATGAGCAGTTAGCCTGGAGCCTGGTATAAAGAAATCACCCAATAAATGGCACCTCTTACTTATTATCATCAGCTCATACAGAGAAAGACAATAACAATACACACCAAAAATGATGATAGTCATATTGGGGTTGTGAATAATCTTTTCCTGAAGTGTTACAATTAGGAAGAAGACACAATGAAAAAAGAAAATCACAAAAACCAACCATGTGGATTTTGAAACATAGTATCTAAGCCTCTTCCCTTAGTCTGGCCCCCTTCTGTGTCCAGACTTCAGGAGTCTCGGTACTTTCTCAACCTCCACTATATCATTTGTGTCCACACAGTACAGATCTAGGTTGCAAAACCTGCTTGTTATTATTAAGGCTTCGTAACAGCAGTGTGTTGTAAATCAGATTACTTAGCAATATTCTTATCTGTATAAAATGTCTTAACTTGATATGCTTCTTCAAATTTGGTATGAGTCTTATTTTGCCTCTGACCAAGTGTGTTTAGTTTTCAAAAGAAATCAGTGTTTCTATAGTACTTAATATTGATTTATTACAGTTGAAGATGAAAATTCGAATTTACCTTTATCTTGTTCTTTATCAGCAAGCCAAGGTTTTTTTAAGTTGGGTGGGGTTTTTTTGTTTGATTGTTTGTTTGTTTGTTTTTGTTTTGAGACAGGGAGAGTTGGGGGGTGCGTGGAGAGGCAGAGGGAGAGAATCTCAAGTAACCTCCATGCCCTGTGCGGAGCCCCATGTCGGTCTTCATCTCATGACCCTGAGATCATGACCTGAGCCAAAATCAAGAGTTAGACGCTTGACCGACTGAGCCCCCCAGGCAGCCCTTTAAGATTTTATGTAATCTCCACACCCAACATGGTACTCAAGCTCACAACCCTAAGATCAAGAGTCCCACGCCCCACCAACTGAGCCAGCCAGGTGTCCCAGCAAGTCAAATATTTTTAAATGATAGCACACTTCTTTCCTCTTCTGATTGTTGTTTATTTTTAAGATCTGTTCCTGGGTAGATAAGCTCTGACTTATTTCAGAATACATTATGCAGCATAATGTTTTTTTTTAAAGATTTTATTTATTTATTTGACAGAGAAAGATCACAAGCAGATGGAGAGGCTGGGAGAGAGAGAGAGAGGGAAGCAGGCTCCCCACTGAGCAGAGAGCCCGATGCGGGACTCTATCCTAGGACTCTGAGATCATGACCTGAGCCGAAGGCAGTGGCTTAACCCACTGAGCCACCCAGGTGCCCCTTATGCAGCATAATTTGCCCAGACTTGAACTGAGGAGGGAATGTATCTCTCTTACTTCCGTTACAACAGTGTGGAAGATATGAGGGTTTTGCTATGCTCATATATCTTATCTTAAAGCTTACCTAAAGAAAAGTAAACAACTAAAACTTCTTCTTCCAGGAAAGGCAGGATGAATTAGTTGTGTAATCATGTGGGATATTTCAGAACTTACCTAATTTTTCCAATTTAAGACTTTGCGATTACATCTTTGAGAGCTTAAAAATATAGCATTCGTTGTTATTTATATGATATAGGTATATTTTAGTTTGTTTACTTACAAAAAGTATTTTAAAACAAATTTTCATGCAAATAGTTGCTAACTATAATGTATTACTGCAAATTATAAGATGATTTACAGAATTATAAAGTGGTAAACCATTGTGTGGAAAGCAATGAAACTTCCAGAGCCAAAAGAAAGTTCCCAGTAACACTCTGTAAAATGGCTTATTAGTAGCAAAATTGTCACCTCTTTCCTTACCTGGGAGAAGCAGAATAAAGGCCTCAGACACTAGTTCTTTGCTCTGCGATGGAAAAGGCAAAACAAATTTCTTCTTAGGCAAAGGTTGCTTGTGTGGCATATTTAAATCTGAATTATGAGTCTTCATTGTTTTAAATGACTATAAAGATAGGACTTGTCTTGGGGTGCCTAGGCAGTACAGTCAGTTAGGCATTCAACTCTTAATTTCAGCTCAGGTCATGATCTCAGGGTCATGCCCCATGTCCAGCTCCATCCAGCTCCACTCTCAGTGCCCAGTCTGCTTAAAGACTCTCTTTCCTTGGGGCACCTGGGTGGCTCAGTGGGTTAAGCCTCTGCCATTGGCTCAGGTCATGATCCCAGGGTCCTGGGATCAAGCCCCACATTGGGCTCTCTGCTCAGTGGGGAGCCTGCTTCCTCCTCTCTCTCTCTCTCTCTCTCTGCCTGCCTCTCCGCCTTCTTGTGATCTCTGTCAAATAAAAAAATTAAAACAAACAAACAAACAAAAAAACTCTCTTTCCTCTCCTTCTGTCCCTCCCCCAACCTCTCTCTCTCTCAGATAAATAAATCTTTAAAAAAACAAAACAACACCAGGGAGCCTGGGTGGCTTAGTCCTTAAGCATCTGCCTTCAGCTCTGGTCATGATCCCTGCTCAGGCACCCTGCTCAGTGGGAAGCCTGCTTCTTCCTCTCTCACTCCCCCTGATTGTGTTCCCTCTCTCACTGTGCTTCTCTCTGTCAAATAAATATATAAATAAAATAGTAAAAAACAAAAATGAAAACAAAAAACAAACAAAAACAACACCAACAACAAATGGGACTCATCTTCTCAGTAGACAAATGTAACCATCGGCAGTAGCAAGTGTGCTTATTCCCTGTAAATGGGCTAATAAAAAAGCCATCTCTTTTTGAGGCTACCAACAGCGTTCTCATTTAGAAAAGCCGCAGCTCTAAGAGCTGCCAGCCCCTTAGAGAAAATCTCTTGTGTCTGGATATTGGGAGGATCAGTAGATGAGAAGATAGGGCTGGACAACTTCTGAAAGGTCATGGTAATTTGTTGAAGGGTTTTTCTTAAGCAGGGAAATGACCCAATCAGATTAGAATCTCAAAGTCATCTTAGCTGTAGTGTGTCCACAGTGACATTTGTTGCCTAGTGAGAAACAAATAGGATTGCTGCTAGCCTCGGGTGCTGGGATATCTGGGTTGGCCCTTAGATGTTTGCTTGGGAATCAGCTGGGGCTCTGGAGGAAGAGAGCAGTGCCTCAGCGACGCATTCAGAGAAAGTTAAGGAAGAATCCAGGCCAGAATCTGGGCAGAGCTTCAGCGTGGGAGGAAAGAGGAAATAGTGGATGCCAAAAAGGATAAATTACAAGAACCTATAGATTTTTTCCCCCAGTTATATTACTAAGTTTCTTTAAGATATAAGTGCATTTGGGCAAGTTTACTAATAAACCTAAATCAATAAAATATTCACAACTCTGCTCTTAGATATGTTTTCTGTATGAAGCTTCTCCTGTCCGTCAGCACTAAAGCAGCGATTAGTTAAAGATTAGTGGTTAATGAGCACTACTTCAAGTTAGCCTTGAATTATTTAGTACCATTCCAGATCAAAGGTAAATATATACTTCTTTTGCTCTCATACAGAAACTCTGTGCCAGCTTCTGTTATAAAAATCAGTTGTTTGGGGCGCCTGCTCTGGGGGAGACTGCTTCTCCCTCTCTCTCTGCCTGCCACTCCCCCTGCTTGTGCGCTCGCCCGTGCGCTCTCTCTCTCTCTCTCTCTCTCTCTGTCAAATAAATAAATAAATAAGATCTTAAAAAAAGGAAAAAGAATTTTAAAATAAATAAATAAAAATTAGTTGTTAGAACCTGTGAATGTTTTCTATGTTCCAAGATGAAAAATTATATTCTGGAAAATTTCTAAGTGAGTTTTATGTTGAATGAATCCAAGAACTTGCCTTAAGTTTCCAAACTTTATTTTCTACACATTGAACACTTTGTATCACTTCTATTTTTAAAACTTGAGGATAAGGGAAAAAAAATCTCTATCAAAGGTGGATTTAAAAAAAAAAAGATGTGTTTCAGAAGTCTTTTTTTGATAAATTCATTTAATAGAACTTTGAACTTAAATTATTTATGAATTAAATGAAAATTTGACTCTAGAGAATTTAAGTACTACTCCAGAATGGATAGCCTAGTACTGGGTCTTGTACCCACCACCTTGTTCTAGCTACTGTCACTAGCTGATACTCTACACTGCCTCTTCTGCACCTGTTATAGTTGAAGTCCATATTCCTACTATGTTGCTATTTTATTGTTTATTAAGTAAAGAGAATATGATGAAAACCAATGAGAAAATGACTTTTAGTTGCTATACATTCTCTTAGTAGTTGTTCGCTGGATTACATTCTATTCTAGCCTACAAGATACTTCTTTAACTACGTTATTTTTAAAATAGGGGATCATCCCTCTTGTAAACTGTTGATTTCCTTTCACAGAAAAGGATAAACCCCCACTTAGCAAGGCCGGGCGGGATGTGATCTTGCAACTACCTACAGACGGAGTAGTTTTGGACGGCCGTGAGAGCACGGATGACCATGCCATCGTCCAGTATGAATGGACACTGCTGCAGGGTGACCCATCAGTGGACATGAAGGTAATTTGTGATGTCGTTGTAGCCGCTGCAAATATTTCCCTGAGGTGATCTCTCATAATGTTTTTCTACTCCTGTTCCCAAAATATCTGTAAGCTGGCAGAAGAGGTGTAAGATAGAGAACGCGCAAGGGTGGTGGTTGAAAAGGTGGTTTATTATATGAATTTACTTTCCTACTGAGTAAACAGTGTTCTGATCCTTTGTTTTGAAGCTTACTCTTGTTCTTGCTGCTTTTTTGGCAAAACACCTCAAGGGAAAAGACTCGAGCTTTGTTTTAATTACTTTTTAAATTTTTTATTTCTTTTCTTAGCTGAAGGTGCAGGTAGAAAATTTTAAAAATATGAAGGAATATAAAGAGGAAAATAACAATAGAATAAACGAATTCTTCACACACTCCAGAAAGCAACCACCTCACCTAGCAATGAGGCCAGCGTGAGGTAACTGAGTTAGCAAGTGAGGGGAAGTGTTCCTGTTTAGGCGCTCCCCACTGATTTTCCTCAGGCTTATGTGGGCCGATCTGGAGTTGCTACAGATGGGAATGAGTCACTCTCCCCTTGGCGGCCTACGTCCAGCAGTCTTTCTGGGTTGTTTTTTTTTGTTGTTGTTGTTTTTACTTGAGCTATAAAAAATTATATTAATTCTAGAAGAACAACATAATGACTCGACATCTGTACATATTGTGAAATGATCACCACAATAAGCCTAGTTAACATCTGTTACCTCACATAGTAACACGTTTCTTGTGATCAGAACTTTTTTTTTTGAGGAAGGCTTGAAAACTTTTTTTAAAAAGATTTATTCTCAGTGACTTTCAAATACACAGTACAGTGTTATTAACTATAGTCACCATGCTGTACATTACATCCCATGACTTAATTATTTTATGACTGGGAGTTTGTACCTTTTGACCCCACTTTACCAAATTTCACCATCCCTCACACCCTGCCTCTTGCAACTACCCATCTATTCTCTGTATATATGAGCTCAAGCTCTTTGTTTAGATCCCACATCTAAGTGAGATCATACAGCCTTTGTTTTTCTCTGTGTGAGTTATTTCACTCAGCGTGATACCCTCAAGGTCCATCCATGTTGTCACAAATGGCAAAATTCCTTTTTATGGCTGAGTGTGTGTGTGTGTGTGTATATATATATATATATATTCCATTTTTCTTTATCCAGTCATCCATCAGTGGACATTTAGTTTGTTTCTTTATCCTGGCTACTGTAAATAATGCTGCAATGAACATGGGGGAGTGCATGTATTTTTTCAAGTTAGAGTTATGTTTTCTTTAAAGAAATACCCAGAAATGGAATTGAGGGGTCAACACAGGTTACCTTGAGTTGTGAGGCAAGTGGCTTCTTATTAACTCTATCAGGATCCTTCCTAGATAGGAGTATTTCCTGGCTGAACCACTCTAGTTGGAGGAGGTGGAAAATGTCTACGTCGGTCAGCTGGGGCTGCCGTAACAAACTAGCACAGGCTGGACGGCTTCACCAACAGAAAGTTCTCAATGTTCTGGAGGCTGGAAGTTCAAGATCCAAGAGTTAGCAGGGCTAGTTTCTTCTAAGGCCTCGCAGTTGGCTGTCAGCTACTTCCTATGTCTTCACAGGGTCTTTCCTCTGTGGGAAAGCACTGATTTATATTCTTTTAGAACAAAAACAATAATCTGCTGATCCTTCAAGACTAATTTATATCCACTATTTACTCAAGGATCATACAGTCTTTGACTTGCCTGGACCCTTGATCTGCATCTTACCCAGACCCCATCCATCTAGGAGCCCCTTCCAGTGGTTGTCTACTCTCTGCCTGGTATTTCCGGAGGTGAAAGCTCACTACTTCACAACACATCCTATAACAGCTTTCATTACCTCTAATTATTAGGCCAACAGGATGTGCCTCCTATTACTTCTGTGTACTGGGCTAGATCTTCTCTTTGGAAAAGTACTCAACACATCCTTTTATTCTGTGTATCAACCACTTAAGTTTTTGAAAAAAAAAAAATGAGGGGCTCTTGGGTGGCTCAGTCAGTTAAGCATCCACCTTTGGCTCAGGTCATGATCCCAGGGTTCTAGGATCGAGTCCCACATCAGGCTTCTTGCTCAGCGGGAGCCTGCTTTTCCCTCTCCACCCCACTGATGCTGTCTTCTCGTTATCTCTGTCTCTCTCTCTCTCAAATAAATAAATAAAATCTTTCAAAAAGAGAAAGAATATCAAGGCTTCTGGGTGGCTCAGTCAGTTAAGTGTCTGCCTTTGGCTCAGGTCATGATCCTGGGGTCCTGGGATCGAGTCTCCCATTGGGCTCCCCGCTCAGCAGAAAGCCTGTTTCTCCCTCTCCCTCTGCCCTTCCCCTGTTTGTGCTCTGTTTCTCTTCCTCTCTCAAATAAATTTTAAAAATCTTAAAAAAAAAAAAAATCTGACACCTTTATGAAGCCCATATGTAAACCGTGGTTCTCCCTGACAGACTATGACCTCTTGTGATACAGACATTGTCTCTACTTCTACTAATGAAGCTTAATTTACAAAACTATTTTAGTAGCTGCTTCACACAATAGATTCAGGTTGAGTTTTCCATTAACAGAATTACCTAAAACCTGCTTCATCTTTCTGCACGGACTACTGCCCTGATGGCCTTTTCATCCTGTATTTGTATAATTGATTCATTGAACCCGAGTGTAGGACCTTAAGTTTATTCTTTTTACGTCTCAGCCTTTTGGTTTTCATCTACAACAGAAATAATTTTGAAAATTGAGAGTCATCCAGCATATTTATTATCCTTCGATGCATTGTGTCAGCTGCAAAATTAATGTATCTTTATTTAATCTTTGAGAGCCAAGGTTGTTCAGGAAAGGTAGACAGACAAGCCATCGATCATACCACTAGAGAGCTTCCTTGAGATGGACACTGACTGGTAATTGGACTTCTGGGACATATTTGTTCAAGCAGCTATAAATCTGTCTCCATTATCATCTAGCTTTGGGTATTTGCTACTAAAAGCTTTATTCTGTAAGCAATGAATTGCGTATATGAGTGCTGAACAAAAATAATGCTGATGATTCAGTATTTAATTTATTGAAGATATTTATAAAGGCCTAACAAAATTAGGCATTTCTCATGGGCTTTTACGTCTGACTGCTCTGCCATCAAGACAGAAATATAGACCAACTCCCCAGCCAAGTATATAATGTGCTGGCAGATAGATCTAGAGTTATACAACCATGATCTAAGTGACAGAGTCTGCAGTAAGAGAGCCATTTGCTACCTGACTGTGACTGTCTTATAATGGTGTACACTCACGAATGCTCCTGAAGTAAACTGTAGTCCGACTGTGACTTCATCATAATAAAACTGTTATTGATTAAGCTACGCACTCAGTGCCAGGCCTTTTGGACCCCTCTGCCATCTCAGACCAGCCTTCCAAGCAGGCATATCCCCATCTTGTAGATTAAAATTATAATAAAACATTGTTAAAGACTTTGAAATGGCAAGAGATTACTAAGTAGCTTTTAAGGAAATGCTGGGGGTAGAGGAGCAGGTCCTTCAAGGTTAGCATTTAGAGATTATAGAAAACAGACTGTAATGCAAATGCGTCTTGTCCTGAGAAATACAAATAGATTTTTCATGTAGAGATGCAGTTGATCTCTGCCCGGTGGAAAAGTGGATTTCAAACATGACATTTTAACCCCTGTAGGTATTAATCTATTAATCCAGGCATGTCGATGCCTAATAGGTACTAACAGGATACTTGTTTCAGCTTTGCATCTCCTAGCAACTTCATCAAAGCGTTCTTGGCTGCTTACAACTGTCTGTTCTTCAAATTCTCTTTTGTTTTTTATTTGTTTAAAAATTTTATTTTTATGAGAGAGAGAGCAAGCAAGCAGGGGGTAGGAACAGAGGGAGAGGGACAAGCAGACTCTGCTCTGAGTGCACAGCCCAACACAGGGCTCTATCCCAGGACCCTGAGATCATGACCTGAGCTGAAATCAAGAGTCACATGCTTAACCCGCTGAGCTGCCCAGACGCCTCTCAGATTCTCCTTTGAATCTATGGAATGTCTTATTGGTTTTCTCTTTAATTAATGAATTAAATAAAATCTTTTTTTTAAAGATTTTATTTATTTATTTATTTATTTGACAGAAATCACAAGTAGGCAGAGAGGCAGGCAGGGGCAGGGGGAGCAGGCTCCCTGCTGAGCGGAGAGCCCAATGAGGTGCTGGATCCCAAGACCCTGGGATCATGACCTGAGTTGAAGGCAGAGGCTTAACCCACTGAGCCACCCAGGCACCCCAAATAAAATCTTTGAATCATGTTCATATTAGATTTGTCTGAGAGTCATAGTTTTAACATTTTGAGAATTTTCTTTTAAAGGAAATTAACATCCTTCAGCCACCATCTCACGGATCCCTTTCACTTGGATAGCCTGATTTTATACCCCCAAATTTCCTTTTTTTTTTAAGTTTATTTATGTTATTTATTGATCTCTACACCCAATGTGGGGCTTCAACTCACCACCCTGAGATCAAGAATTGGTGTTCTTCCAATTGAGCCAGCCAGGTGTCCCTACAACCCCAAATTTCTGACAGGAAAATTGGGACTGTCAAATCAGGTGTGGGTTTGGGGGTTTTTTTGTTTTTGTTTTTGTTTTTTTTGTGAGAATGGGATCCAGTTTACTGGAATGTTACTGCAGTCCTCTATCCAGCTGCAAAATAGGGCTCACTTGGAAGGTTGTTGGGAATGGGGTGAGAGCAGTTATAGGCTAGCACAGCAAAGCAAGTAAGTTAAAACCCAACGTGGGATACACTTGTTCTTATGCTCCTTGATGTTCTTATGCCCCTTGACTGTCCCCACCCCTCAGGAGCACTCACTGATCAGGCTCTCCACTGAGAACACAATGTCTGCTCAAGATTCTCTCTCCCTCTCCCTCCCCGCTCTGGTCCTCCCCCTGCTCCTGCACAGAGAAAAACCAGAGTAAACAGGAACATGGGTCCTTCTGGATAAAATCCAA